GGAACCTCGCAACCGAGTCGCCATTTTGTTCGTTGAATGTCCAGGCGCGTATCAGTGTTTTGTGTATCCCCACGGGGGATACACATATCACTAGTGATATGTGTGCGGGGATACACATATCACGGGGATACACATATCACTGTGACAGGGGTCTTCGATAGATGATCAAGTAATAGGTAACAACTAATTGACAAGAAAATTTAAGCCAAGATTGATATTTTATTACAATATCTGGAATCGATTTTTCTTTTTTTTTTTTCGAGTTTCTTGCCTATGAAAGATGCAAATATAATATTTATTAATTAATTACCTGGACCTAGATATGGTTGTTCAAATCATGATAAAGAGGACCAAGATAATCTGTCAAATTCACATTCTACCCTCAAAAGCTGTAATCAATGAACTTTCTCAACCTTTTTTGTAAAGAAAATATCTCATGACAGTTGAACAATGTCACAATGTAATAAAAATTCACACGGGAGTACTGGTCAGTACTTTGAAATGACATATTAAATAACAAAGTTATAAATCCGGCCAGAGGTTTTCAATCAAATAGAGAGATCACTTTCTTCATATAGACTATTGCTAAATTCACAAAACTAACATAATGTATCTAATGTATGTTATTTGCTTATGAAGTCAGAACATTATACTTACTGACTAGAAGAAGAACAGAATTTTATTCTAGATAAAAGATTTACTTCATTTTGTTCTTCTTATATGTATATATCCCCACCCAAAACTGTTCAACTGAATACAATAACTGCCCATTTATTTTGAATTTCCACATAACTTCTAGCACATAGGAAATAAGAAAACCAGAATGCAAAATACGAATGTCACGGGTGATTCTGATTTATACAATTCAAGATACTTGTGCCTACTCATCTACGTACTACTAAAAAACATGGAAACCCAGAGGTTCAAAATCCAGCTAGCAACTGGATTCTTTGCTGCTGCCAATCACAATGATTATCATAATAATACTGCACTATAACAAAATACTGCACCTTGAGGACAAGAAATATAATTGGATCAAAATCTTTGAATCAAAATCCACAGATATGACCCACTACACTGAATGAAGTGAGCTTCATTTAAACAAGGTTTACTTAGATGATAGCCTCGCACGCAGACAATCTTAGGGCTTGTCACACATGTAACGTGTGACAAGCCCTAAGCGCATCTGCGTGGGAGGCTACTCAGATAACTGACAACAACAGAAAATGCAACCGTTGGTTACAATACAAATTTCATAATTCCCACAAAAGTGTAGTAACAAGTCCTTTCAGTTAAGATTGGGTTAAATTAAAAACTATGCTGGCCTAATCCAAGCATCAGTTTTGCAGAGTTTCCTATCACAGAACCCTGGTTCCTGGGAAAGTTTAAACTTCTTTTTGAATCCAAAGAACTCATTTTTGAGGCTTTGAACAGCAAACTACTCACGGAGGATATTAAAAGTTTTTTTTCTCACTTTTTCTTCATGGTCCTACATGTGCAGTTCCAGAAAATATCCATACTAACCCACAGAAGAGATTGGAATTTCCTGGGAGGTGGGGGGTGGGGAGATCTCTTAGCCTGTCAACACAGACGTATTTCTGGCTTTCACTTGGTTCCGCCAAAAATAACTGACAAGTGACAGCCAGAAATATGTTTGCGTTTGCAGGCTAGGGTTCTCTAAGACCAAAAAATTTAACAAAATGTGTGAAGATCAATTGGAATTTTCAGAGGTGTGTGGTGGTCTTAGAAGAACAAATTCCTTCTACGGGGGAGGTATGGATATTCTCTGGAACTACATAATGTGAAATCCAAAGTCAAGAAGGAAAATTAATAATAATAACAATGTCAACAAAATTATTCCTCTCATCTACACTTTAGGAAAGGACTATAGGATTACATACTGAAAGCCTTTCTCATAATTTATGATACAGGATAATATAATTTAAAATAATTACATAGATATATGTCTACTTTAATTCACTTTGTAATGGGTCATAGAAGACTTTTTTCGAACATGATTTTTTGAAATCCTTCAGGAGCGTGATATACAAAATCACAGAAATTAACATCAATTATTGAACCATCATCAACTGCAAAACAACAGAATCAACAAAGAGATATTTAATAACATTTAACACAAGTTACATGTATTAAATCGAAGTTTCTTAGTGCAAATTAATCATGTAGTATCATAAGCCCACAAAGCAAGCAGATCACTTGAATTATCTAGTATTAAAATAATGCAATGTGTGAAGAGGGATAGATAATACTTATTTGTTTTAAAAGATAATTATGTCATTCCCATTGATCTGACACAGAAAAAGAAATACCTTAAGATTGTTAAATATACCCCCATCATCAAAGCCCTGGCAAATCATTTAATTCTCTCAGCACTGAAATTCAAAATGCCTCTAGTATTGCTGTGTTCACCTCTAAAATTAAGTCATCTTTCCTAGTATAAGTATATCTTACTTCTCTTAGTGTGTTTGTTCACGCTTTTTTCGCTTTTTTTTTGTCATTTGCTTTTGCGCGTTTACGTGTTTAGCTTTGCTTAACTACTGCTAAGTAGTTAAGTTGCTAAATATCACAGACTGTACCTGTCTTCACCAAGAAGTATAAAAATAAAGAGATTTTTATTCTATAACATGCATATCAAGATCTAACTTAAGGTCATTCCACTGAAATAGAACCTACACTGAAATTTTTGTGAAACTTTGCCTATTGATTGTTTATATTATAGGAACTTAAATTTTGAAATAAAAATTAGGGGTCCCCATGTTTGTTTAGCAGCAACAGCACCTTGTTTATACCCAATATATCCTTATAATAGCACCATGATTGTTGTCACGATTGCTTGCTAAATTCACATTTCCGACGATTGCTTTTTGTTCTACACTGAGGATTAGTCCATATTTATTTTACACAGAGAAATTTATTACTCCGTTCAAAACAACAGAAAAAAAAAATGATAGGTCACCATACTCATTTGCGAGAACATGACAATTTACCTGGCGAGGTCCAGCCATAAAGAAAAGGCCGCCATTTTTTAATGCACGCACGCTAATCACGCGTGAAATTATGTGCAGTAGGGATGCGCACTGCAATACTGGGGAAAGACCTTAAAGCTAGAGTTGCATGCACTGGGTGTAATCACCATCATTAGGGAACAGGTTCAGTGTAACCTTTATAGCCACAACAAACAGTGGGCTTAGTATAACATTGTATCAGGTGATACTTACCATAGAATACTGGATACACTGTTCCCTTCATTCCTGTCAATGGACAGTGCAAGTGCTTTCCATTGTGATAGAAGTTAAGTTCTACATGGTCATACGTACAAGCCTAAAACATGGAAATATCACGTTCAGTCACACCACAAGAGGTAGATACTCACTCATGGTCCTTGCAAACATAACCCTGAGTATTTTAGAACACTTGAACAAGTACAACTTCCAAGAAAGGTTTTCCTACAGAAGTGTAAAAGCTTACATGTACTTAACAATACCAAAAGGTATTACTATTATGGTTAGAGGTTGTTTACCGCTGGTTGATCAAAGTTCACAGTGTGTCAGGGCGATATAGAAGAAAGTCATAAATACAAGCATTTGTGGTTTGCAATTCCTTTGCACTGAAACACCGCAGGTTCAATCAACCAAAGGTAAACTACTACTATCATACCTTTCCACATTGTCCCATAAGCTTTTTCACTTGATCTGTATGAAAGTCTTTCTCAGCTGCATGCTGTAAAATTTCAGTTGGAGCCCTTGAGACTATTTGTATGTACATTGTATGTCCAGGGAAGTCATAACAGATGTGAAGAGGTTTCAAACTGAAACTCTAGCCAGGTGCAAATTGTGGTCATTTTATATAATAATTGTCAAATTATTCTTGCATTATTTCATACTTATAATGGTTTGGAGGACAGATGCCTAGATGATCTTATTAATATCTTTTTGTTTCGTTATTTAAGAAATAGAACATGTACCATGTTTTTGTCGAGTTATAGAAACATGAGTGGACATTTGGGAGAATGAGAAAAGTTGTGCAAACAGGAGCTGACAGGCATGTGCTTCAACAGCTTTTATAAATAACTTGTTTACTTTGATCATGAAAATGTAAATTATCTTTGCTTGTATCATCATTATGTCAAGGGCTTGTGCTAGTTCTTTTTTTCCTATTAAGTTATAGAAACACTCTTTTAAACCAATCAGTACCCAAATTTTCTTTGAGCTATTTTCTAATTGATCACAGACGACATCAAGAACATTAGTGACAAGCTCAGCTAACACACTGTGTGCCACCTTTTATTGTTGTTACAACAGTTTGGTGTCATCTGCAATCAATCACTGGACAGATGCACAGCAATACAGAATCTCTTTGTTTAATAGACAAAATGTAAGATCATCAAGAATAACACCAAGCGCTTAAACATATATTTTTGTTATCAGACTACTGGGCTTCTGGTTTGCATTGGATTTTAAGAAAGCTTTCTATCACATACAAACTTACAATCATGTCTCCCTCTTCTGGTATTTCTCGTATTCTGTGTCGTACTATTCCATTATGAGCTACAGAACCATCAGATCTTAGAACCCAGCTCTCCATATTGTTTCCCAATGGTATTTTGTTCAAGTCGCATCTTTTCGTTGCAAGTCCAACACCCCAAGCACCTGTGAGTCAAACATGTATGTGTACATTATTATAACTGAACCTTATTTCACAGTTATGGAGCGCCTCCATGTAATCAGTTGAACTCTGCTCTGTACCCAAGATTGAACAACAGTCCAGTGCAAAAAATTTCTCTAGCGTTGCACATGTTAATATTCCATTTAGTGCTAAGATCATTCATCAGGGAGTTTTTCAAAAAGTTCTAACCAAATCAAGCTTAGCAAAGGTGCTATGATAAAATGCTCCTTTCCAGAGTTAGGTCAACAGACAGGAAAATTTGGTTCTTAGCCCCCCAACCCCTCTTACCAAACCAACCCTGATGGGAGTATGACTTAACCTCTCAAATGTGGTGGTGTTGGATAGTTCAGGATAGTGCCTGGTCCAGCACTTAAAGAATATTGGACTAGCGGCAGAGCAATGTGATTGGTTGATTTTCATTACTGGCCCTCCAAACCAACTCAAAGGTCTTATTAATGCTGTTATTATGCTTGTTTAACCCATTGAGTCCTGTGCCGGCCTTTGTTCCCCTTCTGAGTTTATCACCTTTGACCAAAATTGGCATCATCTATACTCAAGTTCTGCGGGAGGAATATATATTTCCAATGATACCCAGATCAGAGTGATCAACTCGATGGAGCCTGAGATATACACGAAAATGCTCAGAAATTTGAGCAAAAAACTCGCAGCAAAATTTCCTGCGACTGCACTTAGCTACTCCATGGTAAAAATTGCCCGTCTCAATGATGCTTTCTCAGAAATTTTTCAACTGGAAGCCAGCCCAGTAGAAGGTCAATCACTGCCACAAAAAGATAAAAAAAGGAGAAAAAGGAAAGGTGAAAAAAAAAATTAAAAAAAAAAAACACAAAAAGCCTAAAGACGTAGGTCACTTTCTTGACCAAAAACTCTATCGCAATTTTGATTTCTGAGCATGCCAGAGCAAAAAATGTCATAAAACACAGTGCTAGTAGAAAGACAGGTATGCTGTCATGTTGCAAATTCCTTTTTGAGTAGATTGGAGCCAATTTTGCTCATATCAAGGCTGAAAATCGCCAAAAAATGCGTTTTTGGTGAAAAAATCCAGGAGTCAATGGGTTAATGGTCATTATAGTAGCCTAATACCTCCATTTTGAGAATTTCCTCTTCTAATTCATTTACTTCCCTGCGTGCCCAATGAATGAAAACCGATTTAATCGATACAATCGATTCCAATCAATATAATCGATAATCGATTAATATCAGAAAGAGTATCCTCTTTCAATACTTGCCTATTAAGATTGATGAAAATCGATGACAAATATCGATATAATTGATAGCAATTACAAGGAGTTGAATTGTGCATATCGATTTTCAACAATTAATTGCGACAATCGATAATAATTGATTAATTATTATGGATTATTTTGACAATGATCGATTTTCATCAATTGAGTGTGCCAGGTTTACTAGTGTCATTCACAGGGGACCACAGGGAAAACACGGAGGATGGGCAAGAACAGTCTCCTTTTTAACAGGGTACAAGGTTCTTAATCGGCTTACCTCCTGATTGTATTTTCATTTCAAAGTAGCATTTGTTTTGAAGGATTGCGGCGTTCGCCAGAGCCGCTCCAGAACCGCAAATTCTTTTCCCAGATTTCACAATGACAACTTCATTTCCTAAAAACCAAATCGAGCTCTTAAAGAAGTATACATAAGTTCTCAAATTGAATCACTCAAGCGATCAATCAAAGTGTGAAAAACAGACAGGCTCTTTTCATAAAAGCAACTTGCAGTGTTGAAATCACTCACCCATGTGTCCTGTATCCAGCTGCACTTGGGGGACCTCTCTCGGCTGTGGATTCCTGGGTTGCTGATATCGCCTTAAGCAACATAAAATTCCCAGTCCACAGGATTCCATTATCTTTCTTTGGTAGTGAAATTCCTCTTTTATCTCGATCGCCGCCACATCCTCACAGTTCTTCCTTCATTCTCGTGACCACGCGAGAAACTGGACATTAGTAGCCTCGTTTCAAAAATTATTCACGAATTCGTTTCCAGTTTTCTACCGTCGCTTTAGCGCCAACATGGCGGCCAAGGAAAGTCTTGTGGCTGGTAAAGAATTTTCACTGAACTTCTACAAATATAAAGCTGAAATATATTTTGACTCATTACAGACTTGGTCATTACATGACATTGTTTGTATTTATGTTGTAGTTAGAGGAACAGACGGGTTATCTATGGTTCATGGTTCACCATCCTTTAGGCAACACGAGGGATTTGGAAGGTTTGTGCGTGGATGTTATGACCTTTTATGTTAAGCTTTAATAAGTTAAATAGAAATTGGGGTTGTAATTTACAACGTTAAGTGTGACTTTTTCATAAAAGTATCTTTACAAAGAGATACTGCATTTCTTTTTTTCCTCAAGATTTAAGCGATGATGTCTGCGATATTTCATTATTTATTTTGTTGTTTACGTTTGGATTTTAGCTTATGAGAAGGGCCATTCCATTTAATATCCGTACCCCTGCCCCCCTATCGAGAAGCTTTAAATTTTACCCCCTCGGAAAAGTTAACTTTTTATCCCCCCCACCAAGAAAGTAAGATTAAAGTGCCGACACACTTCCCCCTTCAGGATTTGTAAAAGATCAAAGACACCTCATATAGTTGCCCCATCAGAAACGGCCTCTAAAGACCTCACTCCTCCCCCTCAGATTTCCTAGACCCTCTTTAGGGGATTTGTGGGTGGGGTGGGGTGTAAGTAAAAAATGGAATGGCCCAATGCACTCTGAAACTGTGATCCTTCTGGAGAAAATAGCTGAGTAACAAGTCGAGAATCTCATACAGATGGTATATATACAGTGTAGTGTTACCAGATCTGAGCAGTGCTTCTGATATGTTTCTTGTTGCTTTGATTTGTTGTTGTATTTTAAGCAAATGAGGATCATATCAACATTTGAGTAGCATTGCATTAGCACTAAAGAATTTCTTGTTGCATATTTGCACAAATATCTCTATTTGTGTAAATTCAAGTCAAACCTTAGAGTAGTCAGCTAGTGTTTCACAGTGAATTCTGATGAAGTGTCAGTCTATGTGTAAGTCTCAGGTAAGAACATGTATAGGGTTGCTAAGGATAGGAGAAAGTAGACATTTCTAAAACTTGAATAATTCAATAAATGTTCAAAAGACAGACAAAAATCAGTTTGGAGACAACTTAGTAATTGGTATGTACAAAACCAAAGAGCTGAGTTATGGAGTTTAATAACCCTGTTTTTTCAAGTAAAAGTGTCCCATTTTTGTCCCATTTTTTTAATGCTGAGTCTATCACCTTAAGAAAGGTGACCGCTTGAATTGCTGGAAGTCCCCTGCTAAGGGATGGTGATAAAATGTTTTCTAAATAATATCAACAATTAGGCCATGAGCCTGAGTTTTCCATGAATGAATAGTCATTAAGGGGTAGCCAAGTTGACTATCACTCCTAAATAATGAGGGTAAGTAGTCAAATAAATATTGTTTGGCACTATGGAATTACTGCACAAAACCTGTAATTTTTTGTTTGTATTTTTAGCCTAAAATTAAGAATGATATTCAGTTTCAAGAGCAGTGCATGCACAATCATTGTCTGTCAGCAAATAGAAAATCATGAGAAAACCAATCAGATTCATGTATTTCCAACAGAACACCGTCCTGTAGCTGAGGCTAATAACAAATAGTTAAGATGAGAGGCAAGTAGTCACTCAAAGGAGACATCTGCCATCCTTAGATTGGTTTAGCGTCCTTTTCCCTCTAATTATTGTTTTATTGTGGCAGTTATAATGATATGATTCTTCTGTTTTCAGCGACAACTCACCAAGATGCAGAGTAATGACATTTAGTTCTGATGGATCCTTGTTTGCTTGGTGTAACGGCCAGAGGTGAAGACTGCATATTGTGTGTATTATTTCCCATTTCCAGCTAAATTGCTGCAGTTACAGTAATTTGCTTTGTAATTTTCAAAGAAGTTTGGAAGCAATCAGTTGGATCTAAAAAGAACAATGTCTCTTATGGTCAAGTGGGCTACAATGTAGTGAATCAGTCAATTATTAATGAAATAATCACTTAATCCATTGCTTAGCCAAGTAAGTCAATCAATCAGTTGATCGATCAGTTCATCAATCAATTGATTTGTCTGTCCTTCTGTCCATCTGTCCTTCTGTCCATCCGTCCATCCATCCTGGTCCATTTGTTTGTCTGTCTGTCTGTCCGTCCGTCAGTCACTCAAATACTTTTTTCACATTACATCCTACAATGTGTGATTGTGTACTTATGTAACATTATGTCAGATGAGACCTGGCTGTAAACTGATTTTTAAGACAATAATGTATTATCCAGTTCATCTCTCTATCTGTCTCTCTATCTGTTCATCAGTATGTCTGCCTGCCTGCCTGCCTGCATTACTGACTGACTGTTTGTTCAATTCACAGTGTGCTAGTTGTGGAGACTTCCCAGTTCAGTTTAGTATGCCGTATTCCTAAAGAGAAAATATTTTGCATGGCATTTTCACCAAAAGGCACTCACTTGTCAACATGGGAGCAATACTCAGGTCAGGAAGTAGTGAGTAAATCTATAAGCCTTCAATATTTTGTATATACTCTTATCATTTCTGATCTCTAGGTCTCACAACAAATGATTATTAATCCTGACAGCTATGAACAATCACCTTTGAAAAAAAAAGCCTTGGTCTCTTAAAACAAAGTTAAGGAATCTGAGAGCTGATGAATAATTTAATGTTGTTATAATTATAGACACAGATGTTTTACTGGAAAATACACCACTCCCTCTTGTATATTGTTAATTATATAGTAGTTGGGATGCATGATTTGCTCTTGTTCAAATATTGCTCTGTGGTTTTGTAACTCAGCAATACCCTCAGGCATTGAACTTTGGGGAGCAAGGATGGTGCAGTGGTGAGAGCACTCACCTCCCACAATGTGGCCTGGGTTCGATTCCAGCCTGGTGCCATAGGTGGGTTGAGTTTGTTGCTGGTTCTTGCCTTGCTCTGATTGTTTTTCTCTGGGTTCTCCTCTACAAAAACCAACATCTCCAAATTCCAATTGGACCAGGATAAAGGAGCCGCATGAAAACTAGTTAGCACTGATGTGGTTTTCACTCTAACTATTGTAATTTACTTATTATTTGCTTATTATTATAAGGTACTATCTAGACTAATCAAAAGGATTAAGTAATATATGCCTTCTCAGATGGTTATCAATTATTTCCATGGTGTCTTCATCTTGAAAGTAATAGTAAAAGGCTTTTTCTGTGTTCTGTAACCAGTCAGCAAAGATCAGACTACACCAACAAACAATCTTGAAATCTGGAATCTTCAGGCAGGGAGATTAGTTGCTGGGTTTGCACAGAAGAAAAAGGAGACCTGGTAAGTGTTGCCAACTTACAACTTTCAAATTACCTGAATGGGTATAAAGCCATCTGAAATTGACTGGAAACTGCTTGGGCAAACTATTAAGTTTCATGAATTTTTAGCCATGGTTTGGATACATACTTTGTGGTAATCCTAGTGTGAGGTCTGTAGTTGTGTTCAAGATATTGGTCAAGTTCTTGTTTTGGAAGTTAATTGATCAACTCAGGTCTAAAAACCTGCCCTCAAAAATGGGCTAACCAAGCTAGTTCAAGAATTAAAAGTGTCTATTGGAATGCTGCCATCCTTCAAAACTCTGCTGATAAATTGGTGTGTCTCTGTGATCAGTTCTTGGGAAATACCAGCTTTAGAGTGAAATAATTTACTTTCAATCTGTTTTGTTTGAACAATGTTTTGAAAAAGCTATTTGCTGAAACCAGATTCATGAGCAGTCTATCTATCTTGTCAGTTTTGCAAAATTAGGACCGCTCAGGAGGCCAATCAGAATTCTCATCAATCCTTTTATTAAGATTTGATTCACCTATAGCCTTGATCTTCACACCTGAAACAAACTTTTTACTTTATGGGTGAATGGTATCAACTACAGGCATGTTGACCTGTAACATCAGGTGCCCATCAAGCATACTAAGCCGTAACATGTGTTACAGGTTGTGGCCCTTAGTGGCAGCCCTGCTCATTTTCATTTTACTCTAGTTTGTGATGTGTAATAACGGTTAGAAATGCCCAAAAGATTTGAGTCTCATCCTGGCAAGTAGGCAAGATCCAATTTTCAACCTTGAAGGATGCAAGAGAAAAGGGGAGAATTGTAATAAGAGAAACATCTTGAATCACCATAAAATATGCTGGCATTTTTGTTTCCTTCCAGGCAACCAAAGTGGAGTGAGGATGAGTCAGTGTGTGCTCGCTCTGTCACTAATGAAGTACATTGCTTCCATGATGCAGACTTTAGTATGTATCCTGCACATAGCATCCATGTCTTTTTCAGTTGACCTTTATTTTGGCTAAATGAAATTTGGACAAAATTTGTCGATTTATTTTGTCTTATTTAACAGTAAATCAATGTTTATTTAGGGGCATCCAATTTAGCACAGCTAGTCTAAATGAAGCCTGGTACAACATAAATTTGACAACAGTACAGATACACTGTAACATAAGAGTACATTTAAGCTTAATTTTCAATTCATCAAGACTCTCAGCTCGCCTGATGTTTTGAGGAGAGAACATTACTGTTATATGCACGAGCTCCATTTATTCTAAATTCCCCTGGTACTTAGCAGATTTTGTGAGTGGATGGCACAGCAGATCATTTCCTCTGTTCTGATAGCTATGAATCTGATGGCCAAGCTTCAACTCTTAAACCTGCGGGCATGTTTTAATTGTACTTTTGATTTTAAAACACAATAAAATGTATGTATGTAAATGTATGTATGTAAATTCTGAAAGTGGATACAACACAAATGCTGGTCAGTGGTCCCATGGTGTTCTGAGGGAAATGCCGCATGCTTTCATGATGTTTTGTTAAGATGGATTTGTTCTTTTGCACCATAATACATAAGAAAAGAGTCACTTGGTAGAAACCTTGGCTGATGCAAACCCATATTAATAATGATTAAGTTTGGGAAAAGTGTAAAAGTCCTTAAAATTTGTGGTTCAGGCTATCTTCCAAAGTCAATCTGACTTTTGCTTTTATAAGGGTAAATAAACACTTTCTTTTTACAAACATAGTGTGTAATCTTTACTACTGTTTTAAAACCTGTATATCTAACGACCATCCATTAGAAATTAATGCTAATACAAATTCAACAAAAATAGACTAAAGGCATAGCCCAACATCAATTTTATCGACTAAAGTTAAAATCTAGTTAAAAAAATCTAGTTAGCTGTCATCACTCTACAAAGGCCTTTTTTGTCCCAGTGAATGGTCTATACATTCACTCTAATTTTAACCTTTCGTTAACGGCCATCTCTCCCCAACAAAACAACAATTGAAAACAAAGAATAGAATCTATTTTTGACGTCATGTTACAGCCCTCCCCATAACATCAACCTCTTTACAACAGCCACTTTCCTCTTTCTGCAAGGTGACCACTGTAGAGAGACCTCAATTGATTGTATTTTTTAGGGAGTACACAATAATGACAAGTGGATTAAAATAGGTGAATTGCTTTTGTAGCGTCCATTGTCACTAAGCTAAGGCTTCAAGGTGTAACAGACTTTGAGTTGTCTCCAGGTCCCCCACCTTTCACAGTGGCTGCTTATGTTCCTGGTGCAAAGGTGAAGTGTTATTTTCTTTTTTGCCTTTAATAATTGAACATTCAGAGCAGTTCCACTGGAGTGTTGAAAGTAATTCATGTGCATTTGATTGGCGTGAAATACTTGTGCCAATGTGCTGTCCAAAACCAATTGTGACTTGCCTGCACACAATTTCCCATGCTTTGCATCAGAAACCTGTATTTGCTTTGAGTTTTGATTGGTTTGACACTAGATTGTTTGTGTAATTGATGATTGGCTTGAATGATTAGAGCAGTTTTCAATTGAGTGTCATGAAACCAATACCAAATTAATTACTTAACAGTCTTGAACCATTCTAAAACCAAAACCAGGAACAAAGAAATTGCCTGATTACTTTCGACACTCAACTGAAAACTGCTCTATTTCAATTGGCTTTGGTTTTATGACACTCCACTGAAAATTGCTTTTGTCTTCAAAGTACAACTAATATGACACTTAAATTAGTTCAAATGTCCCATGTAATACATTATTTTATGGGCACGTGTAGCTCAGCAGATGGGCAAGATGAGTTAAATCCTATGGCATATGGATTAATATGAAAAGTCAGTTTATCAGCCTTTCATAATCTTTTTCCAAATTCAGTGGCTCATACCCACTTTGACTGGCTTTCCATTTTGTTATTTGACATTGATGCCTGATCTGCATGGTCTGGCAAGCATTTAATGTGACGTTAGGTACAGTTTGTGGCATGGTTTAATGTGCTGTTCCAGAAAATATCCATACCCCTTCCACGGAAGGTTTTGTAGNCCCCCCCCCACCACCCCTCTGGAAATTCCATTTTAGTGTCATACTTTCCTTTAAAAAAAATGGGCTTTTGAAACCCACCTCCCCCTTGAAATTTCCATTAACCTTCCTTGGGGTGGGTATGGATATTTTCTGGAACTACACAATGTTTGTAAGCTCAAAATGACTAAAATATTGAAAACAGGTTAGAGGGGACTAGAAAAGAGTGAGTTGCCTTGGGAACAGAATTTTATTAGATCTGTTAAGTGTGTTGCTTATAGAACTATTAGTAAGTCCACCTGGTTTCAATGGTCTCTGCAGCAAATTGACGGAGATAGCTTTACATGTGTTTATATTAAGCAATTAGATTATGAGCTTGAGATTTCCATCATGCATGGAAATCGACAGTGAAGAATTTAATTGTTTTAGTATGAATCTACAAAATCTTCTTCACAGACGCTTTGAAAATGCAAAGAAGTGGCTGCCAGTTTGTTTACAACAGAACAGATAGTGAGAAGCATAACCAATTAGAGGATGGCATTTGTGATAGAATGCTAGTAAATTTATACCAATAGTTGATATATTATTGGGATGAGTTTATGTAATAATCTCTCTTGATCAGTCACTCATAAATTCATTACCATCATTATGCAAGGGAGAAGTATTTAATACTAATTTGTTGTTGTTTTTCAGGGTGCACCTTGTTATGTACGGCTATTTAGACACCCAAATTTTGACAGTCCAGCTTCTGTCCTTGCAAACAAGAGCTTCTTTAAGGCAGACAGAGTTAAACTGCTGTGGAACAAGAGAGGCAAGTACAACATAAAGACTGAGGGTAACAACAATAATAATCATTGACAATTTGACCCAGTCAACAGTCATTTCCTAAAGATAATGTATGGTTGATTACGCGACAAGGAGGGAAATTGTAAGATTACAGGAGTTAAGTATTCCAAATGATTGATTTAATTTTGGATGAACAAGATAGTGTGCTTTGGACATATACCAGTGAAATTTTAATTGCCGTTCAAGAAGATTATTCCAGATACCTGTACATTGAAGGAAGAGTGGTGAGCCTATATGGGGTGGCAAATGGTGCTTCAAAAACCATGGGTCTTGCAAAATTTTCATCAAATTTCATGGGTCTTGCAGTCTTGTTTTTTAGCAGTTATGTACATCTCACAGTCTCAATTTTTTCACAAAGCAGTATTGCAGTCTCAGGTTTTTGCAAGGCTAAGAAAGTCTCAAATTACCCGCTTGTTTGTTTGGTTGTTTTTTAAATGACCTCTGAATATCTTAGAACCTGAATGTCTTGAGCTCGCATTTTAAACGCTTTTAAATCTCAGTCTCATAATTGAAGAAGGGAAAATGTCTCGGGCTGGCAAAGGAAAATGCTAGTTTCACCTTCTCGCAAAGTCTCGCATTTACCAATCACCATCCCTCGTATATGTATTGTAGCCTTAGCCACCTGAACTTACAATGCCAAATGAACTCCAGCTCTCTGTCTTCAAGAACTTGATTGCAGTTTAAATTTGATTAATTATTATTGGGAAAACCGTAGGGGAGGAACTGCATATTGAAAAGAGGGCAGTTCATTTAATCATCACAGCAGGTACAGTGGTTCATTGTTTAGCTAGTCTAATTTCTAACTTTAGGCTCGGCAGTCCTTGTTGTTACAGCAACAGATGTTGACAAGTCAGGGGCATCTTATTATGGTGAACAAACACTACAGTATATCAGCACCTCTGGAGAGAGCAGCATGGTACAATTAGGTGAGAGGGTGATCCCCCAAAGAACGAGGCCAATATCCAGCCATCTTGACCAAACAAGCTTGGTCAATAAAGGATTTATTATATGGCTTTCAGGGAAATTTGTCTTGTGGGACACAGCAGGTGGTCCTGAGAGGGCAAGATAGCTCCATCTTGCCTCCTCAGGTAGCCAATCACAGTGCAGGATTTGAGCCATCTTGCCTGCTCATGGAGCTAGCCAAAATTAATAATAATTTCTGATACAGCTCTAGATCTATGTTTCAACCATCACTCTAAATACAATGTAACTAGAACCAGTGTGTTTAATTTTAGGTGTCTTATCTTGTGTCATTTCATTTTATGATCTCCAGCCAAGAGAGGACCAATTTATTCTGTACAATGGAGCCCAAACTCTAAAGAGTTTTGCGTGGTCTATGGTTGTATCCTTTGCCACTTGACACTACTTCTTAATGATAATAAGTTATTATTTGACTTTTTGTTGAATTTTCACTGGATTTTTTCGTGATGTTGCTTTTCCTGTGTATTTATTGTTCTATGCTCATTTCATGTGAGTGAACTTCAAGCAACAATGCTTATGCTTGCCTTCCTGAATGTGCTTTTTGTACAAGGGTTAGTTGTGGTGTGAACCAGAGTTAAACAGTCAAATTTAGTTTGTGTATGAATTGAATTCTACGCAATTCCACTTTTGAACTCACGGATAATCAATTTTATTGATTCCTTCCTTAACTTGCTGTTTAATTTTACAACCACACCAGTTATGCCAGCAAAGGCGACACTGTTTGATCTCAAATGTGAACCTCTGTTTGACTTTGGAACAGGACCAAGGAACAATGTGTTTTACAATCCACATGGAAATAATATCCTAACAGATTATATAAATATTATTTATTTATCTTATTAACCAAGTACAAGGACCGTACATGATTGGAACTGTTTAGAAAAACATTGTCACTATCACAGACTGGAAAAACACTGTAAACTTCAAGTGTACAGTTCTGATTGGGAGCTGACTACATGTAGTCATATACTTGTATCTGGTATTAAAAGAAAATATAAGGGAAAGAGAGTTGGAAGTTCAACATATGGAATCTTTTGGGCACAAGTGACTTTGGAACGGGACAAAGGAATGATCTGTTCTACAATCCACAAGGAAATAATGTCCTAACAGATTATATAAATATTATTTATTTATTTATCTTATTAACCAAGTACAAGGACCATACATGATTGCAACTGTTTAGAAAAACAATGCCACGATCATAGATTGGAAAAGCACTGCAAACTTCAAGTGCACAATTGTGATTGTAAGCTGACCAATCATATACTTGTATCTGATGTTAAAAAAAAACAGAAGGGAAAAAGAATTGAAAGTTGAATGTATGGAATCTTTAACAGATTATTTAATATTATTTAACATAACTTGAGTAAGGTCTCTTCAATGCCTCTTTGGATGTCATTTGGATGTTATGTGTGATATTAGAAATTAATAATGAGATGTTCTGCTAAAATTAGGGAGTAGTTTGTTGTTCATTGACATTTTGTTACACATTGTTCATTGACCTTTAATTCACAAAAGTGATCAACAATCGTCTCAGTGTAATAACTTCTTAATACATTTCTTGTCAATCTTAACTGATCATACTTGTATGCCTTGCTGGCTTTGGAAATCTCAGAGGCCAACTGGTAAGTTGATCATGAGTTCAGTTTCCAATTCAATACACAAATGTCAGCCTTCACAACTGTTAAACTGGTATTCACTTTAAAATTTATTATTATCTAGCTACCGGCCAATCTGAAAACCCTTAGATTGCAGGCAACAAATAATTTTATTTCTCCTTGTTTTTGGTTCACAATGTTTTGGGATATCACCTACTGGAAATGGAAATGAAATATTGTATGTTTACTAGCACATGGTTAAATAAAAGCAAATTACTATTGATTTTAATATAAGTGCAAAAGTTAATAAAGTTAGAAAAGTTAGTAAAGTTTGTGCAAAAGTTGGTAAAGTTAGTCTCTTTGGGGGTCATGAGACTCTTCCACTTTGGGTTCGAATTGAAACAAATTTACAGTGTAAGCCACATCAATGGCATCAGATGATGACCAAGTCCAAAACGAGATTGACATCTGTGAGTATTTCTTGTCATTTCTCCTCAACTCCCCAATAAAAAGCAAATTAAGGGAGTGCAGTGCTTATTCTGTAGGCTCGTGAGGCACACAAGTTTTCTTGCAAACAATAACACTATACACCCATTGCCTGCTCCTCTAACCACTATTATTGGTGTAAGGAAATATTCTTTTTCCTTTTACAGGAACTGTGGAGCAGAAAGGATTTAAAGCTTATAAGCAAACCTCAGGTAATTGTCACTCACCTCAACAGAATAATGTATTAAACTTCCTTCTTCTCCTTATTGTTTTGATTTTTAGCTTTTTAGCTTTTTAGCTTTTAGCTTTTTAGCTTTTTTGCCAGATGCCATAAGAATGGCATAGCTGATCCCTCAGTCTCTTGAATTTCCATCCAAGGTCATAACACCCCCTTTGAGGATGTGGCAATCTGGGACTTAGTCAATTTCAGATGGGCAATAGTGGATGCTCTCTCCATGGAATTTAAAATGTAATATATTTTTGATTGGCCAGTTAGAGAGCATAAACACATGTAGCGGTATGCATTATTTGTGGTGAATGTGTTGGCAATGACAAGCGAGATAACTTATGATTACATCATAACATGATTTAACAGGCCAGCGACTCAACATCACTTGAATGGTCTCCAGATGGTGAGCACATTTTAACAGCTACGACCTCTCCAAGGCTCAGGGAAGGAAATGGGTAAGGTTAACTTTTAGGGTGTTTGTCAGCAATTGCTCTATATCAGATTCTCAGTAAATTGACAGAAGTTGACAGTTGGCTGACAGGATTTTCTGGGAGCTGATCTTCACTTTGTCTCTTTAAGGGGGTCCTTCTTAACTACAGATTTAGAGCAGTTGCTAAGGGATTGCTGATTGCGATATTTAGAAGAAAGTTATTTTGGAGCATTTTGCAGTGCTAAATGGTGAATTTTATATAAGGAAATATTTGCTTTGAAAAAATATAATTTCACGTGTGTAACTAGTGCCAGTCCCAAACTGCGTGTCAGAATTTTAAATCCCTAAAACTTGAAAGAAAAGAGGAAGGGTTCCGATTTTTCTTATGAATCAGAAATAACTTAGCCTTTTTTTATAATCGTACACATGGAATTACTGTTTACACATAAAAGAGGAAAGCTACTGTAGAAAGTCTGCTAAACTTTTATGATAATGCAAGTTTCATAAAACTCATATGTAGCATTAAGCACGTGGAGGTTCTTAATCTATTGACACTAATTTAGATGAACTTTTTCAGATCTAGATGTCTTTTAAGTTTTAGGGTTTTATCTATTTGGGAGGGTTGTACAGCGGGGTCTCTGGCACAGTTCAAGAACAGAAAAAATAGAGGCTCACGGATCACAGATATAAAAATTTCGTTTTCCCGAATCACAAGAATAAGCAAATAAGATGCTCTTTTTAATAACCTGTTCCTACACTAGAAAGATTGTTTGAAGAAAGAAAAATCATGAAAGGCTAAGTCAAGGCATATTGCAAATTGCATACCTAAGTCACTCTCAATAGATGACTCTAACCATCTGGAGGACTGGCGTCTCAAAATCACATAGAATAGGGTGGTGAAATCACTAATATCAGTTAATAATTCAAGTACTTCACAGGTCGCACAAAACCTTTGGGTCACAGATCACGAAGAATAATTTCCTAAATTCACGTTTCATGGAAAATAAAATCAGCCAATCACACATCACGAGAATACCCCTGTACGACCCTCATTCTGGTATGTAACTTGTTAAGTATGGCCTTGATTTGAAACTCTTGCAGGACTCCTCAATGGAACAAACCTGTGCAAACAACTTATCCTTAGGAGGTCTGGTTTTCAAAAATATGACAATTAGACCAATTTGGTGGTTAAGAAGAACCCCCCCCTTAAGCATCTTATTTTATCTTTTATGTCTACTTCTAAGGCTACTCTGTCGGTTCTAAATAATGTTTGTCAGTGTTTAGGAGAAATTGGAGATTCAATAACTGAGCAACCAACTTCTTTTAGACACAGTAGACCAATCATGCTATGAAACAGATGTATTCAGTGGGACTGGAAGAATTACCCTCTGTGTCTGTATCCTGTCACGTTAAATATGTGTGCTCACTCTCAGTGTCTTTATGATGCTCATATGATGCATGCAAATTATGCCCATAGAATGTCAACATTGAATCATTTTTCTCACCAGCTATAAAATCTGGCATTACACAGGAAGTTTGTTACATGAAAAGAGTGTTGGTGAACTTTGGGAGGTATGTCTGCCCTAAGGTGATACCATGACCTTCTTGATTGAGTGAGAGGGCCAGATAGGAAAATACTGACAAAAGACTGGGCACAGTGATGGCGTCATGGTCATGCTGTCCAAAATGGTTGAGAGACATGTTTTTTTACTGGCCCAACCTAACTCAGTCAATAAGCTTTCTATCATTGATACCACCTTTGTAGCATCCGATTATGTTGGAAAATGTCTTGATAAATTGGCTGAATTGCTTGCACTAAATGAACTACTGATATGTGCAAGGCATTGACAGCTGGACCTGCTTGTATCAACAAGTCTGGCCCTACACATATTTAGCTCACTGTGTTGCTGTCTAGATCCATTACAATACCATTGCATCAGTGGACTGATGTGATGGTTTGATGACGTCACTCTTTAATTAACTGTCCTGTGCTTCTAGGTTAAGTGGCAGCCTGTTCCTGATGGTGTGTTCAAAGAACCAGTGATCAATTATCGGGCTGTTCCCTCCACTGCAAGTCAAGAGCAGCAGAAAAGTTAGTTTTGGTTCACAAATGTTGCCCTCATGAACTGAGTTTCTTCCTGCACTGTAAATATGTCACATGTTTCTTTCTGTTAAACACAAGTGAAGATTGACAGGGGAAGGTGTAAATGGCCCGTGGGGGGACTCTCATATAAAAAGGGATGGGGGTGCTTGCTGTACCTTTAAGGGTTCGAAAAAGGGCGTTTGGTACCTGTTAGGTTTCTAATATACCCCAATGCCNCCCCCCCCATAAATATCTGCCTGGATTGCTTTCTATAAGATGATGTTGCACCTTGTAGACATTAAGTGCTCTTGGATAGATTTGGCTGGTGCTTGCTTTACTTACATTGCATTTCTCACCAATTTAATGTTCTTCAACACTTCTTGTTGCTGTTTTTCCAGTTGCTGGAACTGTGCCTATTTTTTGGGGGGGTGTGGAGCCAAAAAAGTGAATGTCAGTAAATATGTTGTTTTAGAATTGGTACTTCTTATGGGTGAAAAACAATTTCAAGCCACACCCACAAAACGGTATCTTGGTATTTCTTAAGGGTTTTTTTTCCAAGATTTCTGACAAACACCCCTGTTCCCCATCACCCCCGTCCCTTGTATCTGGGAGCCCCCCTTGGGGTAAATGCAAGGAGAGTCCTGCACATATCTTAGAGTTTTGAATACTATCTCTGCAGATCCTCATTGAACAAGATGTTACACGCAAATCAGCCAATAACTTCATTAATGTGTCTAAGCTTTTAACTGGTGGCATACTTAAAATGCAAGAAAACTCTGCATTTGCATTTAGTAGAATTCTACATTGTATGTGTCACTTGTGAAAATGTTACAAATTGAGTGGCTGGGTTATCGAAGATTATTAGCTATTGCTGTGCAGTTGCTGGAGGTTGTTTACAAAATGGCAACTTTCTTGTTTTTCTAAGGTTTCAGTGGAAACATTTAGAAACATAACTGGTCAACTAACTTCCAGGAGATAAGGACATTTACCATTGCTTGACCCGAAAAAATTGAAATTATTAATGAAAATACTGATGAGTGAGCGTACAAAACTGCAAATTTCCATCAGAATTTCGGCTGCTGCATTTTGCTTAAGAGTTCAGTACCAAGAGAAATAGTAGGCAATTATTGTTATTTGAACAATATTGAGTTATCTAGACTTGTGCTAAAAATAATAGATGTACTAACATTTGCTCTTGATTTCTATGAGGTGATAGTTGATTCAGCCTTGAGCTCACATCTTATAGTCAATACATTACGAAATCTCCCAATAACAATATAATGTAGACAGGACCACTAAAACTGGCACATCTGTATCTGTATCGAAAAGCGTAAGCTGTCGGTCACATGGGAGAGAACCTGGAGCTATAGCCTGCCAATACAGCCGCCTCTCATCGCCCACCTCAAGGGTCGTTGTACAACCACCCTCGGCAGTGGGCAATAAGAGGCGCCTGTATTCGCTGGCTACTGGACCTATGGCCAGAATAATGTTTAAAGCACCCCTCTCAGGATTAAAAACCACCCTAAAAAGCATTCTTGTAATGAAAGCAGTAAAGATTAAATTACATTTTTTATTGTGGAGATCTATCCATATGGTCCATGTATGTGTCTTGTCGAGTTGGATAAAAATATTAAATGGAATAATAACTGTTGTAAGTAACAAATAACATTATCTTTCAGCTAAAGATGTTTACCGTCCCCCTGGCCTTAGAGGAACTGCACCATCAGTGAAAGTGGTGAGGCAAATGTCTTTCCTAGGTTGATTGATGCAAGTATAGCTTTAAAGTAAGAGGTTGAGGAAGGCACAAAATCTAACAAGCTTAAATCTCTTTTTGTAATTGAACACCTACATGTACACCATTTGCATGCCAATCAACATGCATTTTAATGCGCATGACTTCCTTAATGTTTCTCTACTGCTTGTAGAACTTGTGGGAAACACCAGTGACTTTTTGCTTTTTAGTATCTCAAAATTTGTTATTGATACCATGATTTAGTAATTACTGGACCCCCTATTGAACAATTCAGTGCTCGTAATTTTAATGGCTGTTGATTATTAAATTATGTGTAATTTTCTATTTCAGCATGAAAATGAACCTGCAGAAAACCTGAAGCAAAAAGAAGGGCAGGAAATGTCTAAATCTGCTGCAAAGAACAAGAAAAAGAGGGAGGCAAAAGCAAGAGCAAAGCAAGAACAGGAGGTTTCTGGAGAGGCACAGGTGTGAATTTTTTTTGTTGTTTTGAAGTAATCATTGTATTCATGAATCAATAAGCAATTCATAAAACAAATGTGGCATTGTCAGGGCAAGAAGCAAACTTTTAGCTAGATGGGTGTCCAGGTGTCCTGTAGACAGCCACTTTCTAATGAAAATTGTTTTCTTTTCATATTTTGCCTTATAAATTGTTCATTTGAGCAGGCCGTATAGCACATTTTGGATGGCCACTTTTCAAATTCTGGCTTAAAGCCTGGCAAGGATTAAATCAATCCAGTAAATCAGTATTTAGTTTTTCATTGTGGCTAGTAAGTTGAACAACCAGCCTGTCTGTCTGTCTGTCTGTCTGACAGACCTGCAATAGAGTCAGTTAACAATCATTGAACTGACCACAGTTAGTTTATGCAGGTAGTTTAATATCCCAGTGGCTTTACACACTAAAATCTCGGTTTATTTTATTGCAGGTAGCAAGCGCAGCCCTACCGTCACCTCCCCCATCATCAGCAGTGACCAGTGCAACTCTTCCACCAGAGAAAGAAAAAAAGCTCAGGAATTTAAAAAAGGTGTTTGATGGAAATTTGTGTCATTACAATCTAATATTTATTATTTAATTAGTATTATCATTATTCCTTAAAAACTTGAGTTTTGATTGGTGCAATCTGAGCAAAGCTCTTGTAGAATGACAGTGGCAGATCCAGACCTTGAGCTAATGGGGAGGGGTTCTTCTGCTTGCCGTGCAGGCTTTTCTTCCTTCTGTGATTTCTTCATTTTTTACACAAAATAAGGAGGGGCCTGGCCCCCCAGGCCCCTCCCCTAGATCTGCCACTGAATGAGATTCTCATCTAAGACACTCAGAGGCATGTTTTGTAAAAGCTTGCTATTAATAGAAATCAAATTGAGTCACTTTTGGAATTGAATTTGCTCCTTCTATTCAGTGTATTTCCCCTAACCTAGTACAATGTTGTACTATATTTCTTTTACTGAATTCCGGTTTAGAAACTGCGGCAAATTGAAGACCTGAAGGAACAACAGAAATCAGGAAAAATACTAGAGAAAAATCAGGTCAGATATTAGAGTAATATGTACAAGTGAGTACCAGGGATGGATTTGAAAGTATCCTTGTCTTGTGGTTTCTTTTTACAAACAGGGTGCAGTGACATTAATATCCCAGCTCTTTACCTTGTCAGTCAAACATGAAAATTTAACTTAGATAACACCTTTGAAGCTTGATTTTACAAGTCAAGTATGTGAAAGTGTTACTCATAACAATTCACTTGGAGGGTTCAGCTAATAAATCATTGGTTTTTAATTAGTAAAGCAGTTATAGCTAAACATTTACAACCTGTGAGTTATTTTACTTACTTATTTTCTGGGACTGTTTTGCAGATGGACAAAATAGCAGCAGAGGAATCTCTAATAAAGGAAATACAAGAACTTGAACTTGGAAGATGACATCAAGGATTTAACTTCCTTGTCAATAGTTTTATTCTGCACTTTCTGTTTCTATAACACTTCCTGAAGGATAGAAACAACAACTGATGAATTGTCATGTTTAAAAGTAGTGTGATCTACACAATGCAGATCTTGCTACTTTCAAACATCACAAATGAACAAATTATAGTTTTGGAAGTTCTACTTAGAACCGTGAATTCTTTTGTTCTTAGAGGGGAATCTTTGTTCCCAAAAATTGCCCCATTGTCATAAAATTAATGATTCAGATCTGATCAAGCTACAGAACTATCAATTTTTATTGACTGTCCCAAGGAATTTGAGCCTGTTGTATTGAGTACTTTTTTTGTGCAACACAGGTTTAGAAACTCAAAATTTTCCCACCCAGACATTTTGCAGTTTCGCATTAAATATTACACCCAAAAAGCCAAAAATGTATCCAGTTACTAAGTTTTACCAGCTCTTTAAATGTTTGGGGTCAATTTGTATCTGGCATAATGCCTTCTCTGCACAAAGTCATATGTTAGTGTGGAAAAGTGTAAACAGTGATGTAAGCAAAGATCACCCTGTACAGTCACTCCTATGCTAATAGACATATCCTGTGATTACACAGGACTATGAGTAGTCCCTCTTTCACTTAGTCTGTCAAGTGAGACCCCAAATAAACCGCGGGGAAAAAATGGCCGCGTGAAACCCCCAGGAGTTCGCACGGCCATTTTTTCTCGTGGTTTTCTTTTTGATCAATACACGACAAACTAAACGAAAGAGGGACTACTCGTTCATGCAGCCAGCTACATAGAAACACTTCATTTGAAGCCTACCATATGTGTAAATCTGTCCTATGTAGACCATTTTCAGGGTTTCTGCTTACATCAAGTTAATTTTGAGTGCAATTACATGTCTGAATGACAAAGGTTTCTAACACTTCAAGTAAAGGTGTTACATGTAAATGCAAGTGCAATCAGGACCTTGTATTCTGGCTGACAAAGTAACAAGTGATCAACTTGTGATTCTCCTTATTAAGTGCCAATACCTAAACAAGCATTCAAGTGTAGAGATTTAAGAATTGATCAATGACGAGAAACTATTTTATTTAAAACGTTTTTTTTTTTTCAACTAGACTAGCACAATAAGAAGTGAATGGAAACCTGTATGGAGAATTTGTATGTTGACAATGGAGTTGAAACAAGAGCTGTGATAGTGATGGTTAACTTGGGACAAATTTATTATTTTACATCCATTAGATTCACAAATTATAATTATATGTTTCAAATAGTTTCAAAACACACACTGGCCTTCTACATACTGTACTTCTTGCATAAGACAATTTGCTATTAATAAATAGTTCTAATATTTTATTGCTCATTTTATTGGACTGAAAGGTCACTGAAAGGGAAGAACAGCCCCCTCTCCACCTCTACCCAAAAAGTGGTTGTCAACTGTCAGACAGCAACCACCATCAGTTAACAGTTGAATGGCCACAATGCAGTCATAAACCAAGCACCACAAAACATTTTCATTAGAAGACAGGCTGGCTCAGGGAATTCCAGGATACACATATTATAGAGAGTGAGCTGTTCACATTGATTGAGTCAAGCGTGTTTTCTCTGTCCTCTAATTTCAACTTGGGTGTACTGTTGTCATACTTGCAGTTGATTGGTTTCAACATGCAAACAAACACAGTCTGCTGGAACCAGCGATTGGTGTCTGTTACAAGAATCTTCACTTTACAAGTCCCAGTACTAAACTTTGTGAAAAATAATGAGTTAGGAAACCCTTGCTGGGAAAGTCAACTGAGTGACACTACACAGTAAATGGCTGCCTGAATGTTAATAACTAAACGCTGGAGGTTACATTCTGGAGTCTCTTACACTGTGGTTGTATGGCAAGCACTATTTGGAGATGTCGGTGGGACAAGCTATATACATAATAGTATATCTGAGGATATATTTCCAAAAAGGACAATCTTTTCCCAGTTGTTGGGTCCTCTGTGTGTACCTGTCGTCACAGTTTGCTTAACACTGCTGTCTGTAAATTTCACACAGGAAAGAGCCAGTCTCTAAGCAGCCTTGTACTTCTTGCTGTTACTTTTGTTACAGATTTTTAACTTGAAGTACATTTTAGTCTCCTAATTCACTCTTAGCAGCCTCAGAGTTGCTCTCATTTTACACTTGTGCCAGCTGCCCAGATCCTAAGTGAATTATCAACTTGTGCCACTATGTCCTGGTCCATTGTGTTTTCATCATCACTGTCATTCCCAGGTTCTTCAAACTGGCGTTGCCCAGAGGTTGTGGCCAGTAGAGGAAGGCTGGGGTGGAAACTAAAAAAAGAAGTCCAAATATCTTAAAATTTAACACCCATTCCCAAACTTGAAACATTCTTGCCAACCATGCATGCGTACAGTTTCCATGGCAACTAAATTAATGTGACAGTTCATCCCCCTCTAGGTGGTACTCCTTGTCTTTTTGGTGGGGTGTGGCACCTGGCTCCCCAAACACTGACCCTTCTTTGGACCAAAATACAGGTACCTCACTTTCCATATCCATTTCTAGGCAAAGGTCACCTGAGTGTGTATCTTAATGTCCTGAATCATTCTCTATTGTGTCAGATTAATTATATTTTGACGGCTGACTTTTCTTTTTGGATGAAGTGAACTGGTGAAAAGAGAGAAACATTTACATGAATATGCCCTTAAACCCATCCCCAGTTTCAGACCAGATTTCTAAATTGTCTGAAATGGGAACATCTGTTCTTAAATTACCACTTCCTTTCTCTTCAACAAAGGCCAGATCACTTTGTGCTCATGTTGACCAATGTTAGAAGAACAGCAGTGTTTCAATACTATTATGTACTGGTCATGACTTTTGAGACTTAAAGGATTATCATACCTGGCACCATTTACAAAGTCCCCATGAGCCACAAACTTCATGACAGGTTGTAGTGTAGCTTCTTTTGTTGTGTCGTCATTGAGAGGAGGAAGTGTAGAATCCCAAATGGAAACACAACCATCGGCATTGCCAGAGATTATGTATTGTCCAGTCCTACGAAATGAATATTAGTACAGCATACATAATAATGGATATTAATACAATATATATAATAATGAATATTAGCACAGTATACAGTGTCAGTGGTCAGAACAGCTGGCTCTTTACTGCAGTTTCTGTATTAAATTTCATACGAAATTTAAGACATTTTTCTATGCTTTTTAATTATTTCCATTTTCCAAACTTGATGTAATTGTGATGTATTGTGCAAAACTTTCCTATCTGCTTTTGTCTTGGGTTGTTAAGAGCGACATGCACTGTGAGAGTGGTGTCTTGGTCTTGAAGAGTACAACATAGTGACCCCACCCTGGCTCAAATTGAAGCACCTGTTGCTGTGCCTCAAACACTTGGTGATAGTTTATTCCTGTTTGGAGGGGACTTAAGATGTCGATATTCCTCAATCTATTGACTATTGAACATTAGCCAGACTGTGTGGTGTCAACTGTATGAAAGTGCATCTGTTATGATTGATTTATACCTGTCAATATCAAAATACACCCTCTGGTTGGTGTCCACTGAGCGCATCATACAGTACAGGACTGTTCCAGGATTTCGCACATCCCAGCATATAATTTCATCATCCTGTTAAAAAAAGTGCTTCAGATTAACATTCAGAGAGATCAGTGCATACCTTTATTATTGCAGGAAGTTAACATCGGTCTACAGCGAGTGCCTACTACATAATTCTTACTAGTTTTTGTATCATGACGCATCTAGAATTGTTGCCAGTCCCCCAGGATGGGATGCTAGCTACACAGAACTTCCCAGCATTTTTGTCATGTTGCCCCTCAGAAAAACCCTTCAGGAGTAAAGTAGCAAGCCCAAGGACAGTACAGTACTTGGCTCTAGAGAGCTCTTGCCTCTAGAGATCTCATTAAAGAATCCAGCCGACTAAAAAGGCAATGAAAACTGTAAATCTGGACCAATCCGCAAACAAACTCTGACTAGCTGCATTAACAGAGTGTCAATGCTGTGGGGTTTATACAAAAAACTGAGCTTTGGTTCAGGCAGGTTTGCCTACATGTACCTTTCTGCCGCCACTATATAGCTTTGTCCCATCTGGGGAGAACATGACATGAGTGACCCCACCCTGCTGTCCTTGGAGGAGAAAAATTAGCTCACCATCTGAATCTGAGTAGACTCCAACTGATGGTTAAGAAGAGGAAAATTTATTAGAGCTAATTCGTTTAACTTTGCAAATAGTACATGTTGTCACAATGGCTAAAAGCAACAAAGTATGGACTTTTCCTTTGCAGCTTTGCCTCTTGCAAAAATTTCCTTATGGCCTCATCCCTGGCATCTGTGACTCCACTGATGAATGAAAGCATTCACACACAATAGAGGTTATCACAGTTTCTGAAGCCATAAACAAGTAAATCTGGTGTATTTTTACTAACACCTAGATGGGATTCTATTCCATAACAAGGTTACCCACTCATGCATACACCTGGGTGTAGAGTGACACTAAGAGTAGTGTCTTGCTTAAGATCATGTCACAGTGACCCAGACCTGGTCAATGAACCCACGCTGCATAATCCGCAGTCCAGCGCACTATCCACATGGCCACCACACCCTCCATTAGTTAATGTTAATTTATCTATTACTTCTCGTTAACTTAATTTGTCAATTCAAATTCAAACCTGATTTTGAATAGGAGCCCAAAGCATACATCCCAGAGTTGTCCTGACTGAATGCAATACTTGAAATGATTCCATTCTGACCTTCCTTTTTGACTGTAATGAACAACATGCCAATTAAACTCCTGAAATGTGGCATGATTTTTCTGTAGACTAAGGTGATGCACAGTCTGCTCTGTGTTTACCAGAATTGGATGACAAATTTTGATTTTTTAAATTTCTTGGCATATGAGGGGTGTGTTCATTTGGGATGATCTAGATTTCAAACTAGTTTAATTTTCATCAAAGTGGAAGAGCGAATCTGAGACCAACACCTTATTAGACAACTAAATAAAAGAAAATTTGCAACGATCCACTACATGGCGTAGTGGAGACAAGGGTGGACTATGAAGTCAGAGATCAGGTGTTCAAATCTAGGTGAATACAAAATAATGATTAAAAGAGATCTGGGGGTTCGGGTACCGGTAAGGCAGGATGATATGGGCCCCTGGAAGGGTTAGGTACTGATGNCCCCCCCCCACAAAAAAAGAAAGAAAAAGAGTGAGAAAAACTAAATAAACTGGTTTGAAAAAAATTAACCTAGTTTGAAATCATTCTGACCTAAAATACATTTTAAACTCCAGCATTTCCATCAGTGTGCTTGCATGCTTTTAGAAACTTTTGCTTTTGTAAAGAAAACCTTTATTAAGAGCTATATGTCAGCTCATTGTGCATCAGCATCTACAGGTTCAACAACATGGAATGAAGGAGGAGAAAGCTTTTTTTTCTTGACAGGTTTTCCATTCAGTTTAGAAGTTACAATCCTGAGCAACAGAGTAACGCTTATTATCAGAAATGTTTGGTATTTCAAACTGCACACCTGTTGTTGGTCTCTGCTGGAAATCTCTGCCTGGTCTAGCTGTGTCAAAAACTCTGACCATCTTGTTGAAACCACAGTAGATCTGACTGCCATCCAGGTTAAATGACACACAATTTGCAGCAACCAGCTCATCCTAATACCCAAACATTTGACAGAGCATTTAAGAGTGAATGTGATCATCAAACATTTATGATCTCCTTATGAATATGATCCCCCTATGTACAGTATTATTATAATATACGTCAAATTTTTCTGACTCGCATTTTGATTGGTTCTTACTTATGATCTATTGGAGGCCAGATGCATAGATGACATCATTAACAATTATTGTTTTTGTTTTGTTATTATATAAAACAGATAGATTTCATGTTGCAGTGTGTCTGTTCAGTAATAGATCACAGAAGAAGTCAAAATGTGGTAAGAACATCAATCAGTGACGCACTAGCCTAACCACATTTCACCACATTTTGATGTAAATTATCTGTGATCTGTTACTGAACAGACACATGGCAAATAATGAAACAAAAACAATGTCATGCCCTAGCTAGGAATATTGAAGATGGCCCTTTCCTTATCTGATGATGTCTGAAGATTTCAGAGGAAAACCTTTGGAAAATTTCCTGTTGTCAGTCAGTCATAGAATTGGAGCAACTGTCGTCATTGACTTACTTTGGTCATACTGCAGCAGTAATTGGTTCAACTTTACATATGTTTGACAGTGTGCAAGTTAAAGTGTTGATAGGTCAAACTTTCCAGCTTAAGATAGTTTTCATCATCCCCCACTGCAGGAGATTCAATACCTAGATGAAGCACTGACAGCTGTTCATTAGCAATTTTAACAGAACTGACACGAAACTTACCAAGTGGTTATAAGTTCTGTAAGTGCATCTTATTGTCCCAGTGAAAGCGTCCCACATGTGGATAGGATGGTCGCGACTGGTGCTCAATAAACTGTAATGTGTTGGTAATTCACAAAAATAAGTCATCAATGCAAGTGTCTAAAATAAACATGCAAATAGCCATAATCCTTCCAAGGATGTAACATTCTGATCTCAGGGCTTTTCCATGTTTGCATAAGCAGAGGGTATGTTTGCCAATCTTATATACTGCACTATAAACCAATGTACTGCATTCTGTTCTCCCCATCTGAGAAAGATCTGTTATTCAAGTCAGGAAATTCCATACTCGTGACCTCTACAGGGGTCTGATTAGTGTCTCCAACATCAGTTATGTCAGGATGTCATGATATTTTCTTCCTTCTGTGGTCTTTTTATCTTTTACTACATCTATTGTAATGTTCTTACGACTTTTATTGTTTTGTTTATTTTAATTCTACTTTTAGTTGTTCAGGGCACCTCTTGATAACAGCATTTGTTGACGGGGTTTACCCTGGTTAAATAATTATGTTTATATTATTATTATTATTATTATTATTATTATTATTATTATTATTATTATTATTATTATTATTATTATGGGATCTTTCAAGGATCCTTTGAAGATTGTACATTCTTAAGATCTCCTGCTGGACAAGGTTTTTCACTGTGCATGGTCACTGATAAAAATGTTTTTTACTAGCTACCTTATTACACACAGTTGTAAAACGTTCCAGCCATTTACAGTTGAAGCCATTTGTCAGTTGCCAATTAACTACTTGCAGGCCTCATTTTAAAAATTCTAAAAACATACCAACATGAGTCAGGATCAAGCGATGACATAAAGGGATACCAGCAATAATCATAAATGGTCTCTCCCTCGTGCATCTTTAGTGCTGACACCTTCAAAAGACAAGGAAAGTCAGTGAAAAGAGTAAACTGTGCATATGAGCCAAGTGGGTGCTGCTTATATCCAGTTTCTATAACATAAAGCTACTAGGAATATCTCTATCTCCCCTCCTGGATAGGATGCTTGTCCATCACAGGGTCCCCCCCCCCCCCCCCCCCCCCCCCCCCCCCCCCCCCCCCCCCCCCCCCCCCCCCCNACACCTGGGTGGAGAGAGGCACTGTGAGAGTAAAGTGTCTTGCCCAAGAACACAACATAATGTCCCCAGCAAGTTGAGCGCACTAACCATGTGAACGTGAGAAGTCTAATTACAACTCTGTTGATTAATATTACTCAATTCTATAAAGCAATAAAAAATGCCTTGTGCTTTTGCTGTCCTAAAATCATGTTATCAAGAAGAAGGAAGAGAAGTGGAGGACCAGGAGAAAGAAGAAGAGGATGAGGTGTGGTGGAGTTTTCCTACCATTTCCGACAGTCCTTGCACAGCAACCCCACTGTATAATTCCACAGGAAGATTAAATATTCTAAGGATGTTATCATCACTGTTTGTCAGTAAACATGAGCCATCAGGTGACCTTCAGACAATGCAGGAAAAAAAGACAAAGTATAAATAATAAGAATAAAATCTTGTACACTTCTCAGCATGCACTCTACACTGCAATTAAAACTCAAAGCTCTTGGAGCAAAAATACATGTAAACCTATTCAGCAGGTCTCCAACTTTCATTGGATGTTACTGGGACTTCTTTGAATACAAGGTAATATGACACAGCTTGTTGAAATTCAAACTGGTGGCATAGGAATCCCACTCTCCCCTCCCTTCTGTCCTCTGAACGTTGTTCACCATGATACCTGCACTCACCATTTGCAACCCTTAAGAAAGTTTGAAGTTGAGATGTCAAAGTCTTGCCAAGCTCCTGTCACTTGCTGTGGAACTTCACTGAAGTTATAGTGAACTACAGAGTACCTACTGAGGCAAGACAGAATTGCAGTGCTTCCAAGTTCAAAATGACCATGAATGTTTCATCCTTGTTCAATTAAACAGTTACCTTCATTAGGAATAAGAACTGCACCCTCATCAAAAAATGGTACATGATTTTCAAGTTATATATTTGAATACAGGGGTAACTCTGTCAGAATTGTTCTTCCCATTGTCTTTCAACCAATCAAAAGGAAATGAAATGAACTGAATGGAGAGTTTCTTTCTGTATGGTGCAGGTAACCTGTGGGGTATCAGGGTATCATGTTTTAGGAAGTTACAACACTGCTCACTGCATTTCTGAGGCAAACAGGGACTGACAGACTTTGAACCCAGTTTGAAATATTTCCCCAATGGCAATCTAAATCACAATTTGAAATTTAAAAGAATCATAATGGAACCAACCAACCTCTCCCTCTCCGCAAACATGTTCACAACCTCCAACTCTTCAGTAAAAGTGAAGAACAGCTCCCAAGAAAGTTTAGAACAGTGAATGGTTAACACTCAGGTGACAAGCAGCCAAAAGTTAGCCAATAAAAAGACCAACAGTGAAATGAAAGTTCTTATTAATTAGGCATGAACATATGCACAACCAACTGTTGGCTGTCAGTAGACTGCCAGTAGCCTGATCTTTTTTTTTTTGGGCGGGGGCGGGGGGGGGAAGGGGGGGGACAGGGGGCTCACCTGATGGTGGACTGGTGGTCAGTTCATGATCAGGTAGAGAAAACAATTTCAAGAACAAAATTAAGTAATCTTACACTTCACCACTGTAGTTGTCTTCTGATTCCATTGGAGTGTCCCTTTCAATGTCGCGATCATTTGATTTATCCCCACAGTTTGCTGTCCTTGAATCAACGTCGTCTTTATTTTGATGAAGATTTTGATCAGCCACCTCAGCAACTTCCTGGTCTTGCATTGGTGCGCCTCGTTCAAGTTCGGAATCGATTAATTTGTCCTCTAAATGGCTTGATCTTGACCCATCCCTGTCTCGAACTCCATTTTGAACAAAGGCTTGTTTATCAACCTCGGCGGGTTGCTGACCCACCGTTAGAATTTCAACCTGATGAGCGACTCCACTATCTGCAACAGAATCTTTCGCACTGGGATCCTCTGTTCCTTTCTGAGGACCAGTTGCCGGATCTTGCGGACAATCGGACTCTTCTCCTACATTTTCTACTTTATCAGTTTCAGATGGCCTATCTAAGTCACCAGAATCGATTTCGCTGGACATCATTCACACAAAAAGAAGTTAAGAAGTTTGTGATCATTCGGCAATGATGTCCGCCATCTTGACCGTGAAAACCTGGGAAGAATTTTTAAGTTTCGTGATCCTCTTATATAACCTAGTCTCTGAAACTTCCGTCTTCTCTTTCCACAAAGATGGAGTCACTACCAGAAGAAATGTTATTCACAATATTTCAAAATCTTCATCCGTTAGAACTTATACACTTATCACGAGTGAACCGACGCTGGCATGACCTCGCGCTAAATCCTCGACTACACAGGTTTTAAACGATTTACGATTTTTAATGTAGAAAAATAGACCTTTTCACGGTTAATTCTGACGCCATCTTTCTTGGGACGGCAAAAATTTCGGTGAAGAATCTAATGTCTAACAACTCATGGAGAATTCGGATTCTGAAACACTTATGAGTTTAAGGTGGCTCTCTAGAGTATTAACGAACACCCTCCCTATAGAGCACGAGTTAGAAAAGGAAACTTAGTTAATTTCTCTTTTTCCTGTAGAGATTTACCAGTACGGGTACTGTTAAAATAAGACTTATTTTTTGGTTGTCAATTTTTGGATTAAGGCCGTTACCATGGCAAAATATCATCTAATGACAGGCAGATATATTCCTCATTTTGGCCTGAACTCCTTAATATTTATACTAACCTTTGGTGAAGTTTTTTCATACTTTGCCACATCATGGAAGTGATATTGCCTGACATTTTGAATTGGTAAAAAGTCAAGGTTGTCCAGACGGTTTTTCCAATATTCTGTAATTTGTCAATCTTGTGAATATATTAGATTAGCTCTGACAGGTTTTAACAAAAATAGGATATTTTATAGGAATTGTATGTGGTTACAACTGAGCCAGATTAAAAAAAAAAATTCACTGAAAGAACGCGAGAAAATTCACTGTCAGTTTTGCTTTTTGTACCCATATTGACGTCATAAAAATCGAAAGACACTTATGTTTTCCTTTGAGTGTGCACAGATTACTTGAGCTTTCATCCTATGCGCATGTGCAATTGTAAAACTATAGGGAGCCTCCTCAAACTAAAGATACCAGTTAAAAGAATTTACTGGTCACATTTGAGGGAAATAACCTAGTTAGAGTAGCCTCAATTTTTTCCATACATTTGTCTTTAAAACTGGGTCACAATTCGCTGGAAAATTTAGAGATACAGTGGAACCCTGCCTCATGACCACCCCGTTAATACGGCCACCTCTTCATTACAGCTGATTTATTCTGGCCTGAAAAGAGGCTTAGTCATTTTCTTAAATTTAAAGAACCCCTTTAATACGGCCACCTCGTTAATACTGCCAGATTTTTGTGGCTCGTTGGTAACCCGATTAACGGGGTTTGACTGTATTTGTATGAAAAATCAAGTGCAATTCCTCATCTCACATTAACTTTATGTTCTTGAAATTTGATCAAAAAACGTTTTGGCTGGCTATCTTTCCCTTGTAAGAGATAAAATCTTAAGAACATCTATCACTCTCAAATTAGTGGACTTCAGACTTTGAACTTTTCCCAAACATTTGCTGTAATTTTTGTTGTGCTTACCTCCCAATCAAATTGAACATGATGATGATAGATATACAATAACCTCAATTTGGTGCAAAAACATGCTCAGATATTTGTCCGCGGACATTTTAACTATCTGTTCTGAAGGTCGCACAGTTTTCCGAGAGTGAAGCTCAAGAAAAACTATGAGCTAATAATAAGACTAATAAATTTCTGGTGAATGCGTAATGTGAAGTATTTATAATAACCATGAAAGCAAAATACAATGTAAAGGCCATCAGGGTAGATGTTGATCACCTTAGCACCTAGTGACCGTACTTCTTTCTTTTCAGATTTGTGGACCTTCATGGCAAGCTGCACCTCTCCTCTGCTACGATCTGCAAGTACATCAGCAAGTACAAACATTCCCTACAAGTATTAAATCTGCAAGAATGTTACTGGCTAAAAGGTGGTGCCCTTTCCAGTGCACTGCAAAAGTGCAGAAAGTTGACATCTCTCAATGTGTTAGGTTGCAGTGTCTCTAAGAAAACCCTTTGTTCTGTTTTGAAACTGAACAGTAATCTTACAACTTTGGCTTGGTCTATTACTGCTAGTGATCTTTACCTACCTCCCACCCCAATTTCAAGAGAAACTTTTAGGGACATAATGGTGTCTTTCTGCAGGGGACTTGCAACTGGTTTTGCGGGTTTGGATCAACTGATGATTCGGTTTCCAGTGCTTGTTGATAAGTTAAAGTTTTTTGTGCCATTTGTTCTTAACTTGGGAATGCCGCTCATTTGCCGTGAACTAAGTCTGAAAAGATTTGCACTCCAGTGGTTTGATGTAACAGAGAGAGCCATTCAATGTGTTGAGATTGTTATTGAAGGAAGTGGCCTTCAATTTCAGAAAGGAGAACAAGTAACAGTCTCGTTGTCAAACACTACACCCCAGTACAATCATGATCATCATTTAACTGGTCTACAAGCAATGTCTTTAAGGGCAGCAGGTCCCGAGCTTGAGCGTGGAACTCTTCATACATTTGTTTTGCCCCATTTTGATTATTTTGTGCAATCTGACAATTGCAATGAGCACATCGAAAAGTTGGCAACTAAATCGTCAATAGTTAACATGGATTTGGGAGCACTGGGTAAACAAGATCCAGACCGTTTGACTGCCATCCTCGCTGCACAGTCATTGAGATATTTGAATCTTACTGGAATGGACATTATTGGCCATATGTTGCAAGTGATTGCAACTTCCTCGCCAAACCTCAAGATTCTCAATTTACAAGATTGCCGAAATTGCCTCACACCGGTAAGTCTGTAAACTACAAAATTATTTGCTTTTGATCCAATGAATAGTTTCATGGTTCCTTGCATGTCCAACCTTTGGTGTGAGCATAAAGCAATGTTTTTGTCTTTTTGCTGAACCACATTTTAGCTCAGCATTTTGATAAAGCAGAATGGCTGATGCCCAGATTTGAGCAGGATATCAAATCAATTTACACCCAAATGTCGAATTTATTTATATATCTATACTTTTGTATTTTTATTAGGGCACTTACACTACTTACAACACTACAGGTACTTACAATACAACACAAAATGGACACTACTTCAAGCTAGCAAGTTACTGACAGTTACTTAAGATTCAATATAGACATTACTTACCATCTACAGCTACAGCTACTTATAAAACCATGTCAAACACTACTTACAATACACAAGACTATATTACTTTATTAATAATTATTAAAAATATATACATGTATGGGTTATTGACCAATTGTGAGGTCAAGATGGCTGGATATTGGCCAAGTTCTATTTTTGCAAGTTAATGGACCGAGACGGAGTCGCAGTCCATAAACTTGCAAAAAAAGAATGAGGCCAATATCAAGCCATCTTGACCAAACAAGCTTGGTCAATAAAGGATTTATTATATGGCTTTTGAGGAAATTTTTCCTGCAGGACACGGCGGGTAGTCCTGAGTGGGCAAGATAGNAGCTAGTCATACATATAATAAAACTGATTAAAACAGTTTAGATAAACTTTCATATTAGTTTTCCTGATAATGAAGTATAGTTAACTTAATTAGCTATTGGTCTGTCTTAGGAATCAAAATGTTAGGAATGTTATCAGTGGTAGTAAGTGAGATCAATATTTTCATTCTTACTGTAGATTCAAGGGCTGGAATCATTGGCACTATGCTGCACAAACATGACTCAGTTGAACCTCAAGGGAGTTCACTACAGTCAAGATTCTAAGGAAAAACTAAATAGCTTCATGGAAATTATCTCCAAATTCACCAGTCTTACTTCTCTGAGCATTTGCAACTGTGTGCTAGGTTCAGCTGAGAACAAGAAGAGTAGCAAGCGTGGCTTTAAAGAAGAAGTGGTAAAAAGAACCAAGAGGGTTTGCCATGGAAGGAATCTTCCTGGCTGCCAGTCAAGTTGTGATCCAGTAACAGGCTCAAACAGTGCCGCAGCTGCCAATGACACACAAACACAAACACCTTGCTGTGAGTTACGTGGTGTGGGAACTTTTGATTACCTGACTCAAGTGTGCAGTAAAATAACAGAATTTGAACTCATCCGTACTTCATCACCAGGAACCACGTTTGTGAAGAGTTACTACAGGTCATCTAATAGGTAGGCAAAGTCTGTACAAAGTCTGAGTCGGGCCAAGTGGTCCATTAAACGGAGTTGAACTGAACATAACTGAAAAACTTTATTTAAACTCAATGGAGTAATCAGCAGAGCTCATTAAAGATCATTTAAAATCAAATCTAATACAAGCTATAAGAACTATGCACATTATGCATTAAGCAGTCAGAAGGATTTTACCCCCTCAGCACAGGATGCTACATGGTTACCCTCTCCCATCAGCATTAAATTTGTGAGAATTTGTGGTCGATGTTCAAGCCCTGGCTGAGTGAAGGACATTGTGTTTTGTTCTTGAGAATTACACTTAACTCTCACAGTGGCCCTCTCCACTCATCTGTTTAAATTGGTACAGTCGAACCTCTCCATATGGACACCTCTCTAACATGGACAGTTTCCTATGTACAGTGTACCAACAAAATTCTCATATATTTCTTCTAAAAAAAAGCGTCTATAATACGGACCCTCTCTAAAACGGACAACGGACACTAAATCTCGGCTTCAGGGAGCAAATTCATGCACATTTAAACTCTCTATTATGGACACTCCAGGGACCAGGTGTTGATAATTTGTAGTAGCGGCTAGCGGCTTGTCTATTTCCTCTTCTACGAAGGGAGCAAAAAGTTTATATTCAGCCGAAACTTTCCCTCGTTAGTTACATGTAAAACCAATAAATTTGTGACACAAGGAACTTCACAAATATCGCTGCAGACTCTGTGGCACTTAATGAAACTGCCAATTAATTTCATCAGTCTTTGAGGTGACTCTCTCACCGATGCAGGATATAATTTCGGTCTCTACCTTCAAAACTGCTTGTTGAAACGCCCCTCAGTTGTATTAATCGATAGCATTGTATTCTAGTTTGACGTGAATAAGAACGAACTATTCTGTGACTGGACGTGACTATTTGATAATTAGATTAGTTCTTGTTTTTCTGTGAAATGAAAATTTGCATTTGGAGTAAAACAAAATCATTCCTCTTCGATTTTTCATGAGATATTTAGCTCCATTTATCTCCAGTGGTAAGTAAAAAAATACACATCTTTCTTATATTTTTGAAGAAACAAGGGTATCATGTTGCATAGCTCAGCGAGGAAAACAAAAGTATCATGTTACGTACATTGGAGTGAAAAATAAAATTGTCATATTTGCCACTTCTGCAAATTATTGAATTTGAAATGACTAAAACTCAGCGTAAAACATCACAATAAAATTCAAAGCCGTCTTGATAAACGGTAATAAATTTTTGTAAGTTATTTTTGGGCCTTGAAAGAAAATACAAACATGAAACTTATACAATGCTAAGATTACGTCTTGTCAAGTTTTTGTCTGCTCATATTCTGCAAGGGGAAAAGGTCTAGTTGACAACCAAGGGAGAGAACGAAATGGTTAAGGACCTATGTGACTACTGTATCAGAGCTGTAAATTACACTCTGCACGATCTGAGATTGTCTCATTAACTTTTAAATAGATGTTTTTATTTTTGAAAGAAGTAGAGAAATAGACCGGAGAAAAAAATTGTCTGATCTTATATCAAACCGGTGTCACGACAAAACAAACTCGAATCTGGCCTGTTCAGCCCCTTATTCGCTTGTGCTAACAAAGCAACAGTAAGAGAATAGCGTAATTATATGAGTAACAAAACTAGCGGCAAATGCCACATTTCAGTGACTTCAAAGTTTGGCAAAACAAAAGGTTTCTTTTGTTTTTTGTTCAACAAAAGATCTCCAAAAGATACCCTTGGAAAACTGAGTTTTTTGCATAAGTTATTTCTCGAAAAYGAAGTGCAAATCAACAAAAACAATTAYGCAATGATGCTTTTCATGTCAAAACAAGTCAGTCTGCCAAAAATGAGCTCGATCCTGCAAAAAATAAAAATCGGCCTAAAAAGCTATAATTATATGCCCTTTTTGCGCGAAAGCCTTCAATTGGTACCAATACCAGAACATGTCAAAATGTTAGTTTTGAAAACTTTACAAATGCTAATAAATAAATACTCTAAACTGTCAGATGAGAGTTTAAATTGCTAACTGAAACTTACATTTGTTGCTGCTATTGTTGTTGATATATTTTGAATCAAATAAGATAAATATTTTGTGAAAATTATTATTCTTACCAAGAATTTTCTTTAAATTTCAGAGCTCTGGCAGAACGATGCACTGAAACTTGTTACACAATTAAAAGCACATATGACACTTTGTCGTCAATTGCCAACTGGAAAGGTTTGAAGAGACTGACACTGGCAGGTTTGTAAGGAACTAGGTTCAGTGTTTACACAGGGAGAGGGTGGCTGGGGTGTTATGCAAGCTATCAACATTTCAGTTTTCTTTTCATTTGACCTCTCTCTGCACTTCCCTGGACAGCCCTCTGGAAATGCAAGTTTAGGTTCATACTACCCACTCAGCTACCTAATTTCTACAGCTGTCAGTTGATTTGGCCTAGGTGTAGCTGTGGGGTTTCCTGGTAACAGGTTGAATCTACATGTACATGTGACTCCTGACTTTCCCACAGTCTTGATTCTACCCTCATTTTACACTTGCTTTTTCTGACATAAAATTTTGTTATCAATTTATCATTATTAAACAAACTGACTGGTCATTTGCAAGTATGCAATTTAAGAAATTATTCCATGTATTTTTTGTGTGTTTTCTCTAGCGCCATTCATGCAATGCAGTTTGGATTGCCTTGTTACCATAGCACAGAACTGTTCCAATCTTCAGTTCTTGTCTCTTGCAACCTTGGCTAATCTCAGTCATTCAGGGAATGTGGCACTTCTTCAAGAAGCTCTTTCATGTTGCCATCAACTTAGAGACTTCAGGTAAGATTTGTATGGTAGCTGTAATAGTACCTTGGGGAGAGGGTACTCTCTTGTCTGGGCTGTACAGGGAGTTGCTGCCAGATGATAAGGTTTTTGGCATTACTTCGGCCCTGAAAAGGATAATAATTTTATTTGAGTCCGTCCTAAACTGGGTCTGATCATGTCCTAAACAGGGTTCATGGTTGCACAGTTGCTGTCATCAAAGATGGTGTATACAGTGCTCAGCGATCTGAGATCGAATATGTTTGCCAATATTTAGCAAGTCAGCATCTGGTAATTTTCAGGAAAAGAAAATAATTGTATGGTTGTCAGTATGCTTTAACTTCCAACAGCTCTATGTCTTTAGGTAATTCCATTGAAAAAGAAGTGTTGAAGAAATTCTCAAACTTTGTCCACTTGATAATCCCAGAATAGTACCTAGCTAATGGTTATATGTAAGAGGACCCTTTTAAGACCAAGGAAGTAATTTTTAGCACTAGGTGGTCACCCTTGGGTTCCATCCACTTAATGTCTGCTCTTAAAGTTTCTTAAGTCAACAATTGACAAATTTAAACCTCAAGATGCTAAAAAGCAACAAAGAAAGATTTTTTCTTGACATTTTGCTCTTGCATTTGTCTTCTGTGAAACAATTGAAATTCTGTTCAGTATCACCATTCACAGATTGAAAATAGAGAAAATCCATACCCTTCTCGTGGGAGTTTTTTTGGTTTCAAAATCCCCTTTGGTTTAGCTTGACAGTTTTCTTTAAATTTTTGGCTTTTGAGATCCTCACCCCCCTCAGAGTTTCCATTGACCTTCTATGGGGTGGGTATGGATATTTTCTGGAACTGCACATTTTTGGATTGTATTCCAATAACACACTGAAGGGATGAAATGATTTTTTTCCAGACTTGAACAACCACACTTCAAAATCACTGAATCATTTCTGTTGTCACTTGGAGAATCAAAGCATCTTGAACGTGTTTGCATCATTGCCAAGCATGGTCCTATGAAGATAGATTCCCGAGTTGTTGTCTCACTATTCGAAAAGGTATTAAATATGAGATGTCTGAGTAGATTACTTTAATATCTAACCTAAGTCAGTGAAAATGGCAGTCAAATTTAATTTAAAATACAGTCGAACCTCCAGTAAGCGACCACCCAAAATGTCAAGCCTAGGTGGTGGCTTATGGCAGGTGGTTGCTTACGAGAGCATAGACCATATCGGGTCATAATTTTGCCTCATTAGCATATGGTAACTACAGAGACTTACTCTCTGTTTTAACGTTTTATTCATGCAAAAAGTCCATTTCCATAAAAACTCTGGTACTTCCTATTGAGAAATTGCCATCTCTTGTACTACCAAGGAATGCGATAATGTTATAACACCTTATTATCCAATTTATGCTCTATTGTCTGTCCAGTGATCACTTACAGAAGGTTAGAAACAAAAGAAAATTCCAAACTTTCGGCTTTAAAGTGGTCCCGGTCGCTTATGAGAGGTGGTCGCTTACAGGAGGTTTTAAATGTAGTGATTTGATATGGAAACTTTGGGTAATTTGGAAAACTGGTCCCTAAGGAGAGGTGGTCGTTACAAGACCTGGTCGCAACCAGAGGTTCAACTGTAAAAGCATTTTCTCCCCACAAGAGGCTCTCATTAGCTCTATCTTTTGCTAGCCCTTTGCTATTTTAATGTGTGAATCTTATTTTCTAAAATAGGAAGGAAAATCATAAGGTACTTTCCTAAATGAACAACTAAATTACTCAGTTTATCCTCTTCTTACTCTCAGCTTTGATTTCAAAATTATAGGGGGCTTAATGTTCAGTAAATGATATAATAATGATTTACGTAGAGATTGTAATTACTTGCACAGAAAGAAATGATGGTATTTCAGCTGAGCTGCAGGCAGAGGCTCTCTATGAGTTTATTTTTCAGAATTCTTTAGTGAGCAAAGTTCTCAATAAGTAATTAAACAATAAGCTAACTTTTTAAAAAACTATTTTGATTTATGCTGGAAATGTTTAGCTTTTCTGCACTCCCACAATAACAAAGCTTTGCTGAAAAGCTCTAGTTTTTGAAAGCAAAACATAAGTTTAAAATCTTCTGGGTGATGGTGACTGCAGAAAAAGCACATCACTTTTACAGTTTTCTTCAAAACTGAGGACTAAGGAAAAACAATTTCTCGATTAATAATATTTTGATGTTCCACAGTAACATACGTCTAGGTTTTTAGCTTCTAATGCAAGAACTCTTTGAATTTAATGGTAATAACAGTTACCATGGAACCAATTTATGATGTTGTTCTATATCTTTCTTACAGTGTTGTAAGCTGTATTATTTTCAAGTACTCTGTGATATAACAATTAAAGCCAGCAAAGTCATGATGGATTCTGTGAAGCAAAGGTACACTTCAGACTCATTGATAATTTATCAAGTTTAACAAAGGAAATCATAATTTTGGTCTGTGTTTGAATTTCTAATCATAATATCTTATTAGCATACAGTTGTAGCATTTTGTTTCCCCATTTTCTCTTCACTGTTCTCTCATCTCTCTCCGCACGCATTGCTTACTTGCGATCTGACCTGTTACTGAGGAGCTTCATAGGTCTGCAATGTGTGAAAAGGGCTTCAGCTACATAGCTCTGTGCATGCATCACTTACTTGATTAGAATCATAGGTCTGCAATGTGTGAAAATGGCTTCAGCTACATAGCTCTCTGCATGCATTGCTTACTTGGTTAGAATCATAGGTCTGCAATGTGTGAAAATGGCTTCAGCCACATCGTTCTCTGCACGCATTGCTTGCCTATGATTCTTATCAGTAACTGACTAGCATCATAGGTCTGTAATGTGTGAAAAAGGTTACAACCGCATAGCTCTCTGCATGCATTGCCTGCCTATGATTCTAATCAGTAACTGACTAGCATCATAGGTCTGTAATGTGTGAAAAGGGTTACAACCGTATGGCTCTGTGCACGCATTGCTTACCTACGAGTCTAATCAGTAACTGACTAGCATCATAGGTCTGTAATGTGTGAAAAGGGCTACAGCTGCATAGCTCTCTGCACGCATTGCTTGCCTATGATTCTAATCAGTAACTGACTAGCATCATACGTCTATAATGTGTGAAAAGGGTTACAGCCGCATAGCTCTCTGCACGCATTGCTTACCTATGATTCTGGTCAGTCATTTACTAGGAGTAATCGTATATTAAGGAGTGCGTTGGATACGTTGTGTGGCTGCCGTCTGATGGGGAATGCTATTGTTGCTTTGTGCTTCGATGTGCATGATAAGAGCTACATACAAAAATTGTTCAGCGTCTGTTTGGAAAGCCTTATAGGAATGTAGCGCTCTGTGTGCATCACTTGCCTGGACCTGCAATGTATGAAAAGGCTTCAGTGACATAAACCTCTGTATAAATTGCATGCTGACCAATAATTGGATGCAAAATGTGTTTTTATCTTGCAGGTTTGTAGCAGCACGTCCAGGACTGATTGTGTCTATAGTTCCATTTCGTCACTCTTCTACCCCCCTCACCTTTCAAGTCCAGATTGTCAAGTCTGTTCCAGTTGTTCATCTTAAAGAGTTGTTTCTATTTGGAACTTCTGTTGCAACCAGTGTTCCTACCTGACTGGAAAAGGAGACTGAAGAAGGAAATTAGCGTTTTTGTTAAAATCTGTCCTGTGTAACCAGTTTCAGGACTGAAAAAGTGCAATGATCACTTAATTACCTGACTCTCGGCAAAAGGAAATCTGTTTTTCTTTGTTGAAATATGTTACACTGTTTAAGTGCTGTGGTCAGTCTCTTCTTCATTAGTATAGAATAGAGTAGAATAGAACAAAATAGAATAGAATAGAAACTTTATTAACGTGTCAATTAAAAAAATGCCTTGTAGCCTGAGAAAATCCCATACTAATTTTGAGTCACAATAAATAGAAAAAAAAAAAGAAACAATTAGAAAGAAATATTCAGAGTAAAACTTTTAAAAATGTCTAATAATAATGCATGAAAAACTAGTAAATTTGTGACAAAAGAAACTTCGCAATTATTGCTACAGGCTCCGTGGCACTTACTGAAACCGCCAATGAATTACATCAGTCTTTGGGGTGACTCGGTCAAGTAACGATCTTTACTTTTAGTTCTTCTCGTTGAAACGCACCTCAGTAATATAAATCGATAGCACTGTGTATTAGTTTCACGTGGTTTAGTGGTTAAAGCCAAAGGTGGCAACGGAATAAAAACTTGTTATTCCATGACTCGGCGTGACTTTTTGATAATTAGATTAGTTCTTGTTTATCGGTGAAATGAAAATTTGAGTTTTGAATGAAGCAAAATCGTTCCTCTTCAATTTTTCATCAAAATTTTAACTTCCTCCAAAGTGATTATTGTAATCGGTTCCAGTCAAAGACCCACATTTCACCCTTAACTCACCATAAGAGTCTCCAGTAGCTCAGTGGTTAGAGCGTCGGGCTAGATCACGAGGGTCGTGGGTTCAATTCCCATCTGGAACTCGGATTTTTTTTCCGAGTTGAGGTCATTTCTACATTTGTTTCGCCGCAAAATGTAGTACTAACGCAAAATGTAATAACATTGACGCAAAATGTAATAAAAAAGTCAACGCAAAATGTAATAACTTTTCTAACGCATGTAATAATAAGGCAAAATGTAATAATTTTCGAACGGCATGTACGATACCTCGAAACCAGTATTATGACTTGGCCAACGTTATCCTAACGTAGGTAATACTGTGACATGTAGGTGATTTGAATATTTGGTACAATTTGATGTACAGGTTTTGTTTCGAAAAAAAAGAATGTGCGACAGCTTTCAGTTTGAAAGCTCTGTGGATCGGAATCAGGTGGAATATCAGGTAACCCCATCATACTTTCACAATCTTTAACTCCAGAGAAAGTGTTTTGAATAGGCGCCGCGTTGTTGTTGAAGGGTGTGGTGATTGAAATAAATGGGTACAGACAATTCAAAACCTAGACAAAAAAATTATAAACTTTAAATTGAAAGAAACTTCGTTATTACGGACTCTTGATCGCTTTTACATACTTAACCAACACATGTTCCGGTGACAGGACCGGAACATGTGTTGGTTAAGTCTGTAAAAGCGATCGAAGTCCGTAATAACGGAAGTTTCTTTCAATCAGAAGTCTCTAAATTTTTGCCGGGGATTCAACAGCTGTCCATATTAGCGGGGTGTCCGAAATAGCGAGGTGTTTACAAGGCGAGAAATGACTGTACCCATATATTCCACTCACCACACCCTTCAATAACAACGCGGCGCTTATTCGAAACATATAATCTCTGGAGTTGAAGATTGTGAAAGTATGAAGGGGTTACAAGCGATGTACCTGATTCCGCCTGTATACCAAGTTGAACCAAATAATAGGATTCACCTACGTTAGGATAACGTTGGCCGAGTCATAATACTGGTTTCGAGATATCGTACATGTCGTTCGAGAGTTATTACATTTTGCGTTATTACAACATGCGTTAGAAAAGTTATTACATTTTGCGTTGAAAAGTCATTACATTTTGCGTCAATGTTACTACGTTTTGCGTTAGTATTACATTTTGCGGCAGTTCTTATTACATTTTGTGTTAATATTACATTTTGTGGCGTAACAACATTCAATTTTAACTTCATTCCATTTATTGGCATTTATCTCCAGCTGTGAGTGAAAAAATACACATCTTTCTTAAATTTTCGAGGAAACAATGGTATCATGTCGCATACCTTGGCGAGGAAAACAAAATTATCGAGTTACAAACGTTGGCATGAACGCGCAACTTCCTCTTATTATAGCTCTCAGTTAGTACGCGCGCTGTGATTGGTCAATTTAGCGGGCTGTATTCTACTGTACTGCCCGCCAACATTTAAAGCTGTTCTTCTTGTCAAAGTGTTTCGTGATTTATCGCCAAGTGTTCTTACTTTTATAGCAAGTAAAAGTTTAAAACTTTCTTTTACTTCTAAGATTGTGTATTAAAACCTGTTAACTGAGACTTAAAAGTAACTTAACTGACAACGATTTCAAATTGACTCGTTTTGCTGTTAACGTACGTCAGAAGTTTGAAGCCGTTCCGCGTGAATAGAAATCGTTTCCGAACCCGGCAGACACACAGTAGCGATATAATATATATCTTACTAACCTCGTTTTCTCGGTCCGTACTGTAAGTTACGGATCCT